TTTCTTGCGAGGATTTCGACCTCGTTAAACTTGAAAATATGGCCGGGTCCCGTCGAGTGAGCTGCGACCTGAGGGTTTTGCATCTTTCTTCCTCTTCTACCGTTCAATTTGTTTATATTTCGCCCTATCTGCGCATGACTCACGCTATCCTACCATTACCCATGATCAAGGATTTCCGACGGAATCCGAGGCGTCAGGAAAATAAAACGCTTGTTCCAGTGATCGCGTTTTCTTCTTCCGAACTGCTTCCTGGAACTCATATATTTACTTCTATTGGCTGGGTTGTAGTGGGTCGTTGCCTGTCGGATGCCTGGCCTTCCTGCCGTGACTTCAATCCATCTAGACCTCAAGGTCGTGGCGGCCTCCAGACTTATTGGCGCGCGTGACGCGGACCACCCACTTCGATGTCCACCCACACGCTGTCCAATCAATCACAGGCCGACCTAACCAATGAACGCTCTCTCTGTCTATTGGTCTGACTGCTCTCAAACTGGCATTCGGGACCCGGTCAATCTCCTTGGCGGTCGTGTTCTCCCAAGCCAGACTTTTTCCATCTATTCTCCGTTCCTTGTGTACACAATATACTATTCCTAACACTCCGGCCTTTACCGACTTCTCATCTACTAAGTAACCATGGTCTGAAGATCGCAGTTGTCTGGGTTTAGCTTACTTAACCCCCTGCGATAGGGTTGTATTGAACTATTCCATTTGATGGTACTAAGAAATATACTACCACATTTTTGTTGTCGGGTTCTCCTTTGGTGGGAACCACAAAGTGACGCCTGTTCTCGGTGCTTCAAGTGTGTTGGATGCCGTGCATGCGCAATATGAAGGTGATCAGTACAGGCTGTTATGAGGGCTCATTAGAAGTGTCTGTAGATGAGATCACGATCTTATGCCTGTTCGTTTTTCGTCCCAAACCTGCATATGCGTCCTCTCTGCTTCGTTCAGCTTAGGCTGACTACATTTCAGTTCAATTTGATAACTACAGTAGATTATACAGTAGATTGCATATCTGATTAAATGTGAAGATCAAAATTTTAATAGATGGTTTAATACCCATTTGAGGTTGTTTATTTTGTTCATTGGGCTGACTTTAGGCGTAAAATGCTGTTTACTAGAAATGAGTTCCGTTCAGATCAGTATACTGGGGGAAAATAGAGGCGGAATTGGGCCAAATCCAACGTTTGTTGACATCCAAGGAATTTGCTATGCTATTTAACGCTGCGGAAAAAACTTGTTTGTGCGCGTTGTACTATAAAATGACATTAATAAAAACCAGAAGCCTCTTAGTTATATCTGTTCACAGAACGAAAAATTTTGTTTAGCCTTCACGAAATTGAGATAAGTGTAAGTATAAGATAAGGCATTTCTGTCGGGAAAATAAATGCGAAGTCAGTTTACAGAATGTTGTCTTGCAAATCTATTACGTTTTATGTCATACAGATAGGTAATAAACTTATGGGACGCCAAGTTGTTTTACTACGCCGAAAATATTCAAATAATGGTGCCTAGAAGTAAAAATATATGCTGAAAACTTCTTCGGTATACAGAGAAAAGTAAGTTCTTTCATTTTATCTAGTCAAAAAACTGGTCAAAATTTCCTCACTTCGAATTTGACTTAATCTTCAAAAAAGCTAAAGTACACAGATATTTGACGCCGAAATATCTAACTAAACCG